CTCCTGTTCAACTCAGTATTCTTCCAAGAACTCTCGACTCTCAGTTTCTGGACCTGTCCCATCTGTCACACGATGACCTCTGCTATTCCATCCTCAGCACCTGTCTGTATTTTTATTTTATTTTTGAAAACTTTCTATTTTTTTTGTTGAAGTAGAGTTGGTTTACAATGTTTCAGGTGTACAGCAAAGTGATTCAGTTATGCGTATATATTTATATATCCTTTTTCAGATTCTTTTCCATTATAGGTTATTATAAGATACTGAGTACGGTTCCCTGTGCCACACAGTAGACCCTTGTTATTTATCTGTTTTACCTGTATAGTAGTGTGTATCTGCTAATCCCAAATTCCTAATTTATCACTCCCCCGCTTCCCCTTTGGTAACCATAAGTCTGTCTTCTTTGTCTGTAAGTCTATTTCTGTTTTGTAAATAAGTTCATTCGTATCACTTTTTTTATAGATTCCACACATAAGTGCTATCATATGATATTTGTCTTTCTCTGTCTGACTTACTTCACTTAGTATGATCATGTCTAGGTCCATCCATGTTGCTGCAAATGGCATTATTTCATTCTTTTCTGTGGCTGAGTACCATTCCATTGTATATATGTGCTGCATCTTCTTTGTCCATTCATCTGTCAGTGGACATTTAGGTTGCTTCCATGTCTTGGCTATTGTGAATAGTGCTGCTATGAACACTGGGATGCATGTATCTTTTTGACTTAGAGTTTTCTCCAGATATATGCCCAGGAGTGAGATCGCTGGACCATATGGCAGCTCTAGTTTTAGTTTTTTGAGGAACCTCCATACTGTTCTCCATAGTGGCTGCACCAATTTACATTCCCATCAAGATCGTAGGAGGGTTCTCTCTCAGCACCTCCCTTGAAGGTCATGGGGGACGTCTTCAATGCTGCACCCACTAAGACCATGTCTATCCTATGGTACTCACCTGGCTTGGGCAGCATCTGATGCTGTGGACCCTCATCCTCAAGTTTGTGCTTCCTTAGCTTATAGGACGTCACACTCCTTGTTCCCATCACTCCCGCCCAGCCCTCTGCAGGAGCCTCTTCTGCCCGTTGTGGTATCTGTGTTTCTCTCACTCTGTCCGGGGTCCTCCCTTTAGTCTCACTGGCAGATGGCACTCACTCCCGGGACTCAGGCTTCAGGGGTAGCTGGTCCCAGGTGTCCTCAACTCAGTACCAGAGCTCCTGATCAGCCTTCTGGGAGCTGGTCCTAACCTCCAAATGTTCATCTGCGAAGTGGAAAAAAGGACTGTGCCCTTTTCTATCTGTGGTTGCAGACAACTAGATTCGACAAACTGTGTGTTTTGATTCCTACAGGGTAGAGCCTGTCTCACGCACCCACTGTTTGGTGAACCCTAAACCCTCTTACTTGGATGGCTTTAAATGTAAAGTATCCGAGACTCAGTCTGCTCCCATCACGACGCTGAGAGTCTCCCAAGGACAGGAAAGCTGCACCGTTTCCGAAGAAGCGAACAGATACACAGAGGCTGGTTTTCCTCTCTTAACAATCGTTATTTCAGGTCGGGAAGACGGAGCTTAAAGGGTGATTTCATACAGCTGGTGTTCGGAAAGTTCTTTGTTATCACAGTCCTGGTGATGCATGAGTCACTGGCTTTGCATCTCCAGGCGGTGAGCGTGGGCTGTCAGATTCAATTCCTGGGCCCTCAGATGTGGTCAGTAGTCAACAGTGTCAAACCCCCAGCACCGGGGAAGCCAGCGTGGCGCAGGTCACACTGTGGCGGGGGGAGGTGTGTGTGCACACCTGTGATCTGGGCGCTGGCGTGGCCGGCCGCCTTACCCCAGGCTGTGAGGAACCTCGTCACTCAGCAGGAGTGTCAGATTATATTAAGTCCTCGCCGTCCCCCTCCTCCAGTGAATTGTCATAGCTTGTGCACCCGCGCCTGTTGGCGAGTCTCATTTTGTCGTGTTGCAACTGAAAGCCCACATCTTTGGGGGGCCTTCTGGTCTCAAGCATGCGGCCAGTACGTGAGGTGTTCCGTCTCCTGCTTGACAGCCCTGCTTTGGTGGCGCTGATTAATCCAGAAGGGCTAGGTGACAGCTTCCCCAGGTGGGCAGCTCTGGTCCTGCACGGTGTCAGTGATGAAAGCTTCCAGGGTAAGTCTCTGCTCCTCAGCATCTCAGTAGGACTGGAAGCGTGAGCCGTAGGCTTTTTCTGAATTTTCCCCCGAGCAACGCAAGATGCATGCATGTCTGAGGGGCGTCCGTGCTCTGTTACTCCAAAGGGCGGGAGGACCGACGTCTGCCGTCACCGCAACACTGAGGGCGAGACCACATGTGTCCCCTGCCCCATGCTCGCCTCTCGGCTTCTTCAGTGGTGATCGGCAAGTCTGGATAAATGAGATGCTATAATCGGGCAAAGAAATCGCGTAGTCTGCGTGGCTTACGTGGCATCTTCACCCTTCTTCGGGCTTTTACCTGGGCGTGTTGATTGCTGGATGGGTTCTTTCAGCATCACTGTGTGAGGGGCTTTGCCTTCTGCTGAGGAGTTTTCTGTGGGGTGCAGGGTTGTTCGTCTGGGGATGAGTTTGCTTTTCAGCAGCTCTTTCTGTTCCCAGCTCCTCTCGGCTGGGGAACCAGTACAGTAAGCTGTACCCCAGTTGCCGATTCATGCTTGGACTGATTTGGGGAAGCGATGGCCACGTGTCCTCCCTTTTGCCTGGTGACACTGTGGATCGGTGCTTCCCGGACTGGAGTTAGATCCTGGGCTTTTTTTCTTGTGAAGATTGATTTTATCAGGTGAAGCAGCTGACCTTGATCACTGAGATGGAATATAGGTAAAACAGATGAATGTAACTTTTCTACAACCACCGTAAAACCGGATGAAAGGGTTAGCACTGCTCCTCTTCCCGACGTCCCCTTCTTGCAATCCATTTTTCTAGGGGAGTTGCAGAGGGGGGTGATGGCGGGCATGGCAGAATGCGGAAGGTGTGGACAGTGACAGTGGTGCCTCCGGTGGGGAAGGGGACCCCTGCTTGAGCTGCCGTCGTGCACAAGGAAGTGCTTGGTGCTCTGCGAGAACCATCTCCTTTAATCCTCCCGAAGGCTGCTTGGGTGGACACTTCTACATCCTTCCGTCTTAGAGAGTGTAGAGATATCGGACAACCTGCCGGAGGTCACAGGACAACACACAGAGGAGCTAGAGTTTGTATTGAGCCAGTTTGACCGCAGAACTGACATCCTAACCCTGTTTAAAGTTGCTCCTGTAACTCCCTGAGACACGGCCACCGTAGTTCACCTTGGGGCATCCAAGCCCTCCCAGGCCAGGCGTCAGGTGTCTGGATCAGTGCACCCATCCCTGTGATTGCTGGTGACTCTCACACGTGGCACATCTCAGAATGTCTCCAGGTCCTTCAAGGAGCTGGCAGGGGACTCCACTATAACTGCTTGACTTAAGAAAGACAACCATGCATTTACGCCGCTGGGGCATCTCAGAGGAGCGAGGCGCTTTCCCACGGGTTGGGGACCATTGTTTTCCAGAACCAGACCCCGCGGGCGAGGCGCGTGGGGATTGCTTCCATGTGCTTCATCACCATGGAAACCTGGGAGATGCCATGGAGAGGAGGAGATGGTAACGACGGTGGCCGAGGGGAAGGGGGCTTGACTGAAATACGGGACCTGAAAACAGCCAGGAGGAGCCTTTCTTCCTGTGGGAGGTGTTCAGAACCGTGTGATTCCTGCCCCTTTCCTATCGCGAGTGTGAATGAGCCCAAATTCAGAACTCTCGAAGTATTGCAGAGCAGATTCCCAGGTCAGTTCAGACGTGGGTGCTCCCCGGAGAGTAACTCACTTAGGAGGTGAACAGAGAACACACTTGTTTTCAAGCAAACGAGAAAACTGCAGACCTGACTACTGGTGGCCGTTGCCGTCCCCTTCCACAGTGGGCCACTAATCGTCCCTGTTGCTGCTTCCTTATGCTTTCTGAGTGGACATCATCCCTTCCTTTACCTTTGCGAGGACCCTCAACTTTGCTCACTGATGTCATTGGCAGGTTGCTTTGTCATTTTTATTTCTTCTGGAGTCAATTCACCCTGGTTACCAATTTTGTTAAATCTCTTCAGTAGTGTGAGTTTTCTTTCTGGGTTTTGGAATTTCTATTTTCAGACTCACCTTTCATGGGACATTTTTACCCCCGATCTGTCTCTTTCTGTGCTCATCTTACTTCTTTGTAGTCCTATCCCACCCTGTGGACGCTCCCAGTTTTACTACTGGTAGCTCAGATTTCCTGCACAGGTGATATCACTGAGCCGGGGGGTCTGGTCCCTCTGCCTCTCCAGGGAATTCCCTTATGTGAGCTAGAGCTCTGGGGTTGGGGACTTGACCTCAGTCTCGGGTCAGGTGGTGACCTTTGCTCAGGCCTCTAGCCTCAAATGGGACGCCTCCAGTCCTGCGTAGCAAGAAAAATTGGGGTCCTCATTCTCTCTGCCCATTTCTGGACTCAGAGTCTGGCGGGTCCTGGGAGTTCCACCACCACACGTGTTCCAGCCATCCACAGTCCTCGTAGATTTTTATCTTCTTTTGGAGCAAGACAGTTATCTACCGTTTATTATGGCAATGTGTTTGGAGCAGTGTTTGTGAGGAGAGGGGGCGGGTCAAAGCTTGAGATAAACTGCAGTTGGAGAGCGGTTCTGTTGCCGCTTCAGGACACGAACGTGTAATGCAGGTCAGCACGCCGTGGATCGGATGTGAATTACCTTCTCACACTTCACTACAGGCTTTATAGATACTATTTTATCATCTGCTTGTAACATCGTCGTGAAGTGTCATTCCTCCTGTTTTATGGAGTAGGAAACTCATGGTCCGGAAAGAAGAGAAGAAACCGGTCCAATACCACAAGCCTTGTAAATCGCAGGACCACACCCAACCCACGTCTGATTTGGAATCAGAACCCTTCACCACTGTTCCACGTGTCTCTGGAGGCCGGGGCTTCATCTCACCGTGCCCTTTCCTTTTGTTCTAGGAAAATGCACTGAAGGATGCTGCCCAGGGAGACCATCGCCTGAGACCCCATCATGCAGGCCTTCCCGCAAGGGCCCGGCAGCTGGACAAGGTAACCGACAGCCACTATTGACGGGCCACCGGGAGGGGGGCCGTCAGGCAGGGACCTGGGGAAGGCGAAGAGGGAGACTCACTGCAGCCCACCCAAAGGAGGGTGGCCGGGACGCTGGGTCCTGCCTCTTCTATTTCATCATGCGGCCACTGCCCGAAGCACTTGGGAAACGTCTCGTTTGCTGTCTGCTAGGTATCCCTACTTAGACGTCTACTCGGTCACATCGGGGCCGCAGCAAAACTTCCCATGTCCGATCCCCAAACCATTGCCTGTCCTGGTTTTCTCATCCCAGTGACTGGCCATCGCCCAGCTGCTCAGACCAAGACGCTGAGAGCCGTCCAGGATTCTTCCTTTCCTCACCCCTGCACCTCACTCTGAACAGCCCATCCCCACTGTGTCCCACCAATGCAGGCCGCCATTTCTCTGGCCCAGATGCTGACACGGCCTGCTTACCACCCTTCCTGACATCCGACAGTCATTTTCCGGCAGGATCAAGAGTGATCTGGTGATTCAAGCCAGGCGGTGTTGCTCCTCTGAGTACACTTCCTCCCAAATAGGAATGCATCTCTTCCCCACGGCCGCCACCTTGCTCAGCCTTGTCACCTGCCTCTCGACCTTTGATTCCTGAAGTTCTGTCCACCCTGAACTTCTTTTTGCTCCTCTGACCACCAGGCCTGCCTGGGCAGGCCATGACTTTCCCTGCTTAGAGCTCTACTCCCTTCTTTTCCGATGGCCGTCAGCTTCTCGCTCTTCATATGTCAGCCTAAGAGTCACGTCCTCAGCTAGACCTTCCCTGCTTCCCACCTGCGTCCCTCCTTCCTCCTCCTTCTAACCATGTGGCTTCACCTGGCTTTTGTCTTCTTGTGTCTCTTATTACTTGGTCGATCATGTGTCTTCACTAATGTGTGTGTCTGTCCCCCCCCCCCCATAAGAATGTCACCTCCCAGGTAGCAGAGGTCTTTGCCTTCATATCCATCACTGTATCGCCAGCACCTGATCTAACGGGACACATCGTGGGTGCTCAGAGTAGATATTAGTTAACGATTGGTTGGTGGTTTGGAGTCGCTAATTTCACAGATGTACTAAAGCGTATTTCAGTTACTATAAAAATTAGAGCTTTCTTGATTACACACTTACTTTCCTGCCTTCCTGTTTGGCCTTTTTTTTTTCTCCCCCCCCCCCCCCAAAAGTTGTGCTTTTCAGAAAATAGCAGGTGTTGGTGGGAATGTAAAATGGTGCAGGGACCACCGAGAACAGGATAGCAGATCCTTAGCAAATTAAAAATGCAGTCACACCATGAACCAGCAACTCCACTTCTGGGGATACACCCAAAAGAATTAAAAGCAGGACTGAGAAGCAGTATTTGTCCACCCCTGTTCATAGCAGCATTATTCATAATAGCCAAAATGTGGAAGCCCCCGTGTCCATCTACAAATGAATGGATAACAAAAGGTGGTATATACGTACAATGGACTGTTACTCAGCCTTTAAAGGAAGGAAGTTCTGACAGCGGTGCTGCAACGGGTGAACCTTGAGGACATTACGCTCAGTGAAAAAAGCCAGTCACAGAAGGACAAACACTGTAGGATTCCACTTACATAAAGTCCCTAGAGCAGTCAGATTCCTAGAGACAGAAAGCAGGATGGTGGGTGCCGGGGCTGGAGAGGGGGATGGGGAGTTAGTGTCCAATGGGGACAGAGTTTCAGTTTGGGAAGATGAGAAAGTTCTGGTGGTGATGACTGCACAACTGTGTGACCGTACTTCATGTCACTGAGCTGTACACTTAAAAGTGGTTAAGACGTTAAATTTTATGTCATGAGTATTTTACCACGATTAAAAAAAAAGATATGTTTTTTCTACACCCCCAACTCTCCCTTTAGTTCCCCTTTTGCCTCCTATTCCTGCCAGGCCCTGTGTCCTCTGTCCTTTTTCCTTCCAAACAGGAAAGTCTCTGATAAACTCACTCACGCTGAAGTGTGAATCCATAATGAGGCTCAGTGACCTTCTCAGCCCAAGAGTCTTTTTATTTAAACAGGGACAAAGATGAAAAAAAATGGTGGTGCTTTCGGCATCGGAGGCGGGCTGACGACAGGGCTGGGCACGCTGGCCAGAGGAAGGGTTGGTCCTGGCTTTCTCTCTCTTTCTCTTTTTCCGTTTCTCTCCGGCTTCTCTCTTTCGCTCAGGTCACTCCCTGTGCGCGTCTGTCCGCTCCTAAGCGGGGTTCCTGCACCCGGAGTGTGGTTCTCGTAGAGCAGATCCAGGTGGTGGCGCCACCACCGTCTCATTCCCGGACCTGTCTCTCCAGCTACCCTGAGGGGCTCCCCTGCTCCCATAGAGCTCTCACCAAATCCGACATTATTTTTTCACTTTAAGATTTGAAACGTGTTCCCCTGCTGCCTCCACACTGTGGCCTTTTATAAATTTATTTATTTATTTTTGGCTGCGTTGGGTCTTCGTTGCTGCGCGTGGGCTTTCTCTAGCTGCAGCGAGCGGGGGCAACTCTTCGTTGCGGTGCGTGGGCTTCTCATTGCGGTGGCTTCTCTTGTTGCAGAGCTCGGGCTCTAGGAGCGCGGGCTTCAGTAGTTGTGGCTCATGGGCTTAGTTGTTCCGCGGCATGTGGGATCTTCCCAGCTCAGGGCTCGAACCCGTGTCCCCTGCATTGGCAGGTGGATTCCTAACCACTGCGCCACCAGGGAAGCCCCACCGTGGCCTTTTAAACAAAGCTTCAAGGCCCAGAAAATGAGCTCCCTTCAGCATTAAAAGACTCCCAAGAGGGAGGAGATATGGGGATATATGTATATGTATAGTTGATTCACTTTGTTATAAAGCAGAAACTAACACACCATTGTAAAGCAATTATACTCCAATAAAGATGTTAAAAAAAAAAGACTGCCCTCAGGGACCAGCATCTGTGTCCCAGGGTAACTTGGGGATGTGCAGGGGGCAGGTCGGTTTGTGCTGCTGCTGAAAACATACAACCACAGCACCAGGTCCACTGGGGGGGCCACCCCTGTGACCCGTAGAAACACAAGGAGCCTTCCTGGTTCTCTGGAAGACGTCTGGGAATTCCCAGTTCCCCCAGCTGATTCGGGCTTGGATTTGCAGTCTGCTTTTTAGTCGCCTTGATTAAATAAGCAAATTTAATGCTCAGAGCTCTTAATTATTGAGGCAAAGGGATGCAGTCAGCGTGTCCCCTGGAGCCTGCCCAGACGGGATTGCCTCGTAGGTGCAGAATTGGATATTGGACTCTCTGGAATATTGCATTGAATCCCCTGGGCAGGCAGCCCTGGGGAAGGAAACAAATGAGCTGGGAATGCAGGGCACGGTGCAAAGGATGGGGTCAATGCCCTCGAAGCCTGCACACCAAACTTTTTTTTTTTTTTTTTTTTTAAACTGATTTCAAATTTCTTACTTGCCTGGGTTCAAAGGAGCCCATTAAGCTCCACCCCCCAAACTGGGCAGGTGTTCCGGTAGCTAACTGGAGGTTCAGGCTTTCTCACTGAGTAACTGTTGCCTAATGTTTTAAGCTACTTTCCCGCCTGGTGCTACTGCGGCTGCCCCCGAAATCTGTATTTTGATACAGAGGCGAGTCGAGTGGCGGGATCTGGTGCCTGAGTCAGGAGTGCGCCGCTGTGCCTGTGTGCGGTGGGAGGTCCCGGGCAGCAAGCAGGACACGGTGGTACCCATGTTCTGAAGCCAGGTACTGTGTGGGGTGTTAAGTTCATGACCTGTGAACCTATGACCTGTGAACTCTTTTTACCTGCTGGCCAGAAATCTGAGGTTGGCTGGAATTCCGGGTTCGGTTACAAATGACTGGTATGGACAGTGGTCATGCCACTCCCTAGCTGGTGGTCTCTCTTCTTCATCGCATTACTGAGAAAACTGGGCATCTGTCGGATGCCACACGTGGACGTTTGGGATTCGTGGAGCCACACACCTTTGGCTGGAAAAGCCCAGCGGGCACACCTGAGTATCATTATCTATTTTTCCTTTATTAAAAAACAAAATCTTGTAAGGGTCCACTGTTCTTAGCTTTCCACCTTAGGAGGAATTGTCTGGGCTTTTAAGCTTGAACATCTGAGAACTTTTTTTCCTTTTTGTGGAGGAGGGGAGTTTATAGGTCTTAGTGAAAATCTCTTCCCATCCTTTCTGCTAGTCCGAGACTTCCTTCTCCTTCAGTAGATAACCTGGCTGATTCCCAGGAGAATGTTCTAGTCCAGGTGCCAGGACATAGGTTTGCCTCTATAGGGTTCTCTGGTCATGAAAGTGACCGGCTTTGAGCTCCGGACACTGGGCAGCCGGGGACCAGGGACTTGTAAGCCGATGGGCCTCTCTTCCAAGGCTCCTGGGACGGGCGGGGCTGGAAAGGCCGGCTGGGCAGTGGCGTGAGGTCCTGAGACTCCAGCGCTGCAAGCAGCCCGTTGAGCCGACATTTAGAGTGTTTTCGTTTGGAGCCTCGGTCCTGTTTCCAGACGGGATCGGCTGTTACCAGATCAGAGAGAGCCCCCTTCTCTGCGAGAGTCAGCGGCGGTTCTTTCAGCTGCAGGTAGCAGGGACCCAGGCTGGGTGACGTAAACACCCAGGGGGCATTCTTGTTCTCATGCGACCAGAAGTTCCCAGAGCCCAGGGCAGAGGCACCTGCTGGAGACGCACGGGGACACAGGCTCCTGCGCCCCTGCAGCGCCATCCCGCGGGGACCGCGGCTCTTGTGGTCACCGCAGCATTGCTGAGGGTCCCATCCTCGCTGCAGCTGGAGCAGCCCAGCCTTTCTTATAAAGCATCGTGTTCACGTGGGGTCATTGCCCCCCAGAGATTCCCGCTGGCCTGTCACGGAGAATGGGGTCACACGGCATCTCAGTCTGGGTCCCTGCCGGAAAGAGATGACACACCTCGAAAAGCAATGGGGAGCGTTACTAAGGGCCATTTAGGTGGGTGTGGGTGAGTTAAGGGAGCTGAGCTGGAGGATGACGTGACCAGTGACAGTGGAGAATTTTCATTTCTTGGGAAAGAGCAGAGATGTTCACAAACAGGTAATTTTTTCATGTGAGAGATCAGTCTTTGAGATTTCCAAGACCAATTTAACCTCATGTTTCCAACACTTTCTTTTTCCTTTCCTTTCTTAATTGTGGAGTCACTGGAACCAGACTGGTCGGTGTCAGAAGTCCTAGAATCAAGGTGTCGGCAGGGCTCATTCCTTCTGGAGGCTCCAGGAGAGAATTGCCTTCTCACCTTTTCCAGCTCCTAGAGGCACCCGCATTCCTGGACTCATGGCCCCTTCCTCCCTGTCCAAACCCGGCAGTACAGCATCTTTAAAATCTCTCTTTTCCGACCCTATTCTCCGCCTTCCTCTCATCAGGACCCTTGCCATTGCTACACTGGACCCACCAGGATAATCCAGGACAGTCTCCCCATCTCAAGATCCTTATCTTAATCACCCCTTCCAAGTCATTTTTGCCATGTAAGGTAACGTTCACAGGCTCCAGGGTTAGGATGTGCACGTCCTTGTGGGGTCTTTATTCAGCCTGCCTCAGTCTCTCCCCAAATCTATCCTTTCGTCTCCTTACCAGCAGACTTTCTTTCCATTGTTGCAAACCGGGGAAGTGACCTTAATCATTCCGATAAACATAAAGGGGACACAATGGAAAATTTTAAGTCAAAGAAATGCAAAACCACAATCTTGGCATGAGATGACGTGTATTAGATGTATTAAAGTGCAAATGCCAATGACTTGCGGAGCCTTTTAGCTGCCCGGAAGTCCTCTGGTAGATTCTTCCTCGTCCACAGCTGCTGTCCTTTAAAGCGTTGTCTTCAAGACAAATAAAGCTTGTTTCTTTCCCCCAACAGTATTGCTTTCTGTTAAGTTACTATATACAACAAACACAGTCTTTCCCACAACAAAAGCACAGCATTTTAGCTCCATGTGGGGTAAGCGGGATTTATGGGTGGACCTGACCCTCTAACGTCTGTCCTAACCACTGCTGGCAACATCCCTGTGGGAGAGCAGGTCTGGTGCCTGCCAGTCAGTTACCAGATTCACATCTGGGCTGTGGTCTGTCTGCAGGTTGGGGATTGGCTATTCTTGGCCAAAGGCCTGGTCGGTGCCCTCGGGAGGGTGATTCCTGACTGCCCGGTGCTCTTATAAGGGACTGGATAAAAACTAAATGTACGGAAATAAATGAGGTCAGCAAACGGAGCCTGAAACCCAAGTCGGGGGATTCCCTACAACGCGTGAATCTGAGTTTCTTGGGAACACCTGACTTAGGTGGACTTTGGCTGTTCACTCTGCTTCTCCTCTCTGACCACAGGGAATTGGATCACAAAAGAAAACTCCTTTCCCATCGGAGCTTACATTCTAATGAGGAGAAACCCCAAGAAAAACGTAAACAGCTCACAGGATAATTTCACATAGTGATAAACGCCCGTGGAAAATAAAGCAGGGCAAAGCAGTGAGGGGAAAGGAGGCAGACAGGTGGGGAGGATTTTGGTACCCGAGGGCTTGTCTGAGGAGTGACATAATTGATGAGAAGGAGCCAGACTGGCAGAGACGGGGGGGTGGAGTGGGAGCTGGGTAGGGATGTGCCACAATGGGAAGAGCACGTGCAAAGGCCCTGGGGCGGGAATAAGCTTGGCTTGTTCAAGGGACAGAAAGAGGCCAGGGTGGCTGAGCATGGTGAATGGTTGCGGGTCAGCTCAGAGAGGTGGGTGGGCACATGCTACAGGACTTCGGGGCCACACCAGGAGTCTGGATTTTATTCTGATCTCCATGGCAGCCCGGGAGGTTTCAGTCAGGAAGCAGCAAGACCTGCTTTTTATTCCGGAGAGCTAGTGCTGGCTACTGTGTGAGACTGGACCTGGGGTAGTCGAACACTAGTCCCAAGTCTAGTTTCCTTGATTAGCCAGAACATGAGAAGTGATGGCTTTCCAGCAAACCCAGTGTTGAGGTTCAAGTGCGGGTACTGCTTAATTCCTATAGTTCATGACATTTTCACAAGGGAGCGTGTGAATTTTTCCCCACGTTCATTGCCTGATGCATCATGCTGTAGCAAAATGCCGTGAAAATGCCTCTGGGAATCAGATCCCTCTACGACCTCTTAATAACAGCTTCCACGTAACCCTGTTCCATTTAGGAATGCCAAGTGGGCGCCTTCCTTTCTTTCTATGCCACAGAAATTGTAAGGTTAAACGAACACTCTGTACCTAAAGCGTTTGAAGCAGGACTTCTGCAGCTAAAAAAAAAAAAAAAAAAGTGACTTTGTGACAGTCTGTTATTGAAAACATAATTCATGTTGTAATGTTTGGGGAGGAGGGAAAGAAATTAAAATCCTGTGGCTGGGTTAAAATACGCTGCACAATTAAAATAAAGGAAAATAAATCAGATAACTTCTCCCGTCAATGGCTGCCCTTAATCTGTTTCAGAGAAGCTAGAGGAGAGATGGAGAATCGGTGGAGCCTCCCAGATGAGTTCTAAACGTGGTCCTGGGGGTTGTGGGCTTAGGGTGGATGTGATTTCTGAGGTTATTGGAACACCCACCATTCTAATCGATGTGGAGCCTTGCTGCCCCTTTTGTCCACTTTTAAGACAGGGGTGAAAATTTTAGACAACAGAAATTAGTATGGCTCGACAATTTGGGTAACATTTTGTCTGTTAGGACTTTCAGTTCAGAGGGACAGAAGACAATTCAAATTGGTACAAGCAAACCAAGGGAATCTATTGGCCCAAGTAACAGGAAAGGAAAACATTAGCTTCAGGCACAGCTTGATCTAGGTGCTCAAGTGATGTCATCAGGACCCTACTTCTCCCTTGGCCTCTCTTGGCTCTATTCTCAGCTGAGTTCTTCCCTCATGATGGCACAGTAGCTCCAGCCTTTGTCCTCAACTTTCCAAGTCCAGAGGGCAAAAGAGAGAGTCTCTTCCCGGATTCCTACACAAGGCCAATATCTCATTCTCTGCGGATGCGCCTGGGTCCTGTGCCCTGCCCCAACCAATCACCATATCCAGGGCATGGGATTACACTGATTGGCCAGACCTGGGTCACATTCCCAGTCCCGAGCCAATCACTGTGGCCGTGGCGAGGATGGGCGGGATGAAGAGGGAGGCTGTGTGCTGACTGGCCAGCCTTTGGTCACACGTATTCACCCCAGCAGGAGTGGACCCCCCATGAAGTCCATGACTGAGGATGACAGAGGGGAAGAGTCTCCAAAAAGGGGAGGTGACAGATGACAGCTGGGGACAAGTACCCACCGCAGCTCCTATGCATGTTGTAAACAGCCCCTTTTCTCCATCCTTGCTACTTGTAGGTGAAAGCAGAGTATGCTCGACTTAAACACACGCTCACCATAGTGACCAGAGAACGCGATTTGGCCGTGAAGGAGAAACACCAACTCCAAGCCAAGCTGGAGAACCTAGAACAGGTCCTAAAGGTAGGATGGGCTTCACTTCCGCTTTCCTGAGCGTGAGCGTGAAGAAGGAGGGGCTGCGGACTTCCAAAGCAGAAAGTGGTTGAAACTCCTTCTGAGTTTCAAAATCATCAGAATTCAGGGCTCTTGGCGCCGCTTTTACCCTCCCTGTGGCATACGAAGCAATAAATAAGAAAATTTGAATGTTTCTGGAAGCGATCCTGTAAAACCGATTATGCGTTTCCATTTCTTAGGAATGTTAAACACTGCAGAACAAGAGATGGTAGGCAGCGCTCCGGAATGGAAATTGGGCTTATGTTGAAGACCAGAGGTGTCTACCTTTGGTTTTTCAAACTTCATGAATTTCAAGCTGTTCTTCAGATGGTTAATGACCTTTGTCATAAAGGGAATAGCTAAGTCAGAAAATTGCTTTATCAGGGTGCAGGTAATTGGATGGCTTCATGCATTCTTGGTGAGCTGGGATCTCCTTCAATATTTAATGGGTGGGTTGATTTGTTACTGACGTTACTGAGTTAAGCTGAATGAATTCTTTGGCCTTTTTTTTTTTCTTTGAGTGTTAAAATTTTATTGGATTCTCATAGTGGGAAAAAATATTTAAACATAAAAGAATAAAATAATCATCACCTGCAATCCTACAATCTAGTACCTAGATTAAGCCTTTGTATCTCACACGCATGGAACAGAGCTATGCTGCACCCACCCACCGTCTTGCATCAGGAAGTGATTTTAACTGCATCTATAGCTTATTTGGGGGAAACTTCTAGAACTCTGAGGGGACGCAGATCAGTGGTTGGCTGGGACTATTTGGTGAGGGGGGAAGTGGATACGGGGTTTCTTCTGGGGGTGATGAAAATGTTCTGGAATTAGTGTGATGACTACACAACCTTGTGAATGTACCAGCACCTCTGAAATATACACTTTCAAAGGGTGAATGTTATGGGATGTGAATTACATCTCAATTTAAGAGGGAAGATGCCCTGTTCTCTCACTGCTGGCCCTGAAGGGGAACCACGCCCCTCGTGTGGCTCTCAGGAGGTGGCAGATCTGTACCCAGTGCTGGTGGCATGTAAGATGCCCCCGTGTGTCCACCTGACACTCTCTGGAGGAAAGGCCAAGGCTAACCCTGACCATGCTGCTGTTTACCATTTGCTCTGAGTTTAGAACAGCCATAAAGGATGAGATTCCACCATGTAATTATTCATTTCAGCAGCTACCTCGACCGCTGACTGCAGGTTCTCTGAGGCAACGACCGTGTTTCATTCAGCTCTCTACCTGTAAAGCCTGGGTTTGGTGAAAGTCAGGGTTTGGTGAATTCAGTGGCGGATGGACTGGGAATCCAGGTGCACCCGGGGGCTTTGCTGAGGGTCTGTTGGAGTAAAGTCAGCATGAAGGACAGTGTACGTGACTATGCCCCCAGGAGATATTTGACAATCTGGAGACATTTTTGCTGGCTGGGACCGGGGAGCGGGCTATTAGCATCACGTGTGCAGAGGCCGGGGATGTTGTTAAGTCTCCTACGATGCACAGGACCGCCTCCACGGCAAAGAAATAAGTGGCCCAAAATGGCATTGGCACCGAGGGTGAGAAGCTCTGTGAATTAGTTTGTTACTGTTGCCGTAACAAATTGTCCCCACGTGAAAATAACAAATGTATTCTCTCACAGTTCAGGAGGTCAGATCCGAGATGAGTCACACGGGGCTAAAATCACGGTGTCAGCAGAGCTGCCTGCCTTTCGGAAGGGTTTGGGGAGACCTTCCCTGCCTTCCCCACCTTCTGGTGGCTCCCAGCCCCTCCCTGTTATTAGAAGTTGCTAATTGCAGAGCCAGCAACGAGCATCTTCTCTCCTCTCCGACCTCCTGCCTCCCTCTTACAAGGACCCTGTGATTACACGGTGTCCACCTGGATGATTTCCACATCTCAGCGTCCTGAACTTCATCACATCTGCAGGGTCCCTTTGTCGTGTAAGGTGACGTAGTCACAGGCCCCAGGGACTGGGAGGTGGACATCTTTGGGGAACATTATTCAGCCTGCCCCACTTCTAGAGTATTTGAAGGAGGCGACCAATAGCACTGATGCTACCTGTGGGTAGAGGAGGCCCTGTTTATAATTTCGGGGCGTGAAATTCCCGTCTTTGTCTCCTGCCTGCCGGGCTTCAGGCCAGTCTCTCCTGCTACCTGGAGTGGGTGAAGGGCTGTGCATTCTCACTGGCCTCGTGGCGCCTGCCGTCCTTCCTTCTGACCTGGGGTTTGAGCCTCATCACCAGGGCCTTGCACGCGTGGAGACACCCCGAGTTCACGTCCAGGTTCTGCCCGTGGCGCCCTGCAAACAGCCCTCTCCTCGGCTGCCCACCCTGTCCAGGGGGTACACCCCAGGGGTGTCACCTGCCCTTCTGGGGGGCAGGCTAGGGAGGGGGCCTGTGCAGGAGCTGGCGGGGGAGCTTGGGGGCTTTGAGGTGGGGGCATTCCAGGGTCCGGGGAGCTGGACTGTGGTCCAGAGGGGAGCGTGTGGGCTCTGGATGGGCGTGTTCCTCTGGCCCCCTTTCTAAGGGTGGAATTGGGTAGCTGATGGGCAGCCTGTGAGCAGCCATCAGGGGACACGGTCATGTTCGTCACCAGGAAAGCAGCAAGGGGGGGAGAGGTTGGAGGCCGTGAGGGGCCCAAAGGGACAAGTGGCAGCGTCACAGGGCCGGGGTTCTGGCCCTCGCCTTCTCTTGGTCACCGCCCCACACGGTGCTGTTCTAGTCTGTTCTTCACGGGCTGGCCAGAGCAGTACCGTCCAAACCGAAGTCAGGTCCCAGCAGCATCCGCAAACCCTCCGCAGGACCCGCCAGCCCAGCTCACTCACCCAAAGCCTGGCGCCTCCCTGGCCACAGCCCTGCAGCCTGCAGCTGCCCTCCCCTCTCGGGAGGCCTGTCCTCCCCTCCCGCCCTGACTCCATCCGCCCCCATTGCCCCGCCCCTTTCCTGGCTCCGATCCCGGAGCAAAGCCAGGCCCTGAGCACCTTCTCCATAAAGTTCTTCTCAGTACCATTTCAGTGAGCGACTGACGATGGAGCCAGGCTGGCCTGGGGCAGGGGCCTTGTTGGGAGCAAACGGAGCTCTTTCTCAAAAGAGTTTCGCTCTGTGCAAAAAGGGAGAGAAAGAAGACCCGGAGGTGAGGAGAGGCGTGTCCTTTGCAAGGGGTTGATTCCATGGCGGGCGAAGGAAAGCGCCTGCCCTGAAAATTTGCAAAACCCTGTGTGATCTGCCCTTTCCCACACCCAGCACTGAGAGCCTGTGGGGCTGAGAGCAAGGAGGGAGAGGTCGGGGAGGTGATGATTCCACTACAGTGGCTGAACTCCCTGGGCTCCGGGACAGAACCTGCCGAACTTTGCTGCTTTCAGAGAACCCCCCAAGCGCGGTAGCTGCATGTTGTATCAGCATCGCCTCAGTTTGGACCGATTGAAAGCACAGCGATTTCCATGTTCTCCTTCTGATACTTTGGTCATGATAATAAGAGGGCTATTCAAGGTCAACCTTCTTTCTGTTTTGCAATTTGGTGGTTGTATTTTATTTTTTAATTCTATTTTAAATTTATTTCATTGAGGTAGAGTTGATTTACAATGCTGTGTTAATTTCTGCTGTACAGCAAAGTGATTCAGTGATACAGGTATCTATTCTTTTTCACATTCTTTTCCATGATGGTTTTTCACAGGATATCGAATATAGCTCCCTGTGCCCTACAGTAGGACCTTGTTGTTTATCCATTCTAAGTGTAATCGTTTGCATCTGCTAACCCCAAACTCCCAATCCATCCCTCCCCACTCCACCTTAGCCTTTCTTTTTTTCTTTTTTTTTTTTGCGATACGTGGGCCTCTCGCTGTTGTGACCTCTCCCGTTGTGGAGCACAGGCTCCGGACGCGCAGGCTCAGCGGCCATGGCTCACAAGCCCAGCCGCTCCGCGGCATGTGGGATCTTCCCCAACCGGGGCATGAACCCGCGTCCCCTGCATCGGCAGGCGGACTCTCAACCACTGCGCCACCAGGGAAGCCTCTTTCTTTTTTTCTTGAGCGGCAAAGCCCATCAGTGGGCGATGGGGAAGGGAGGAGGTGATTGCCATGCTGGGCGGAGATGCAGCTGACTTGGCTTAGAAAATCCTGGCGTTGCTGTAAACTTGGGCAAAATGATGACCTTGCATTTCCAGAAGTTGCCTGGACATCCCCAGAACTCCCGGAGTGTGATGTATGGTCTCTAGTTGTCATTGATTTGAATGGAATTTGATCCCCAAACCAGTGTCGATCAGCATGATTTGCTGAGAACCAAAGAGAACTTCCCCAGGCTCGGGGGCCACGTGAGGGGGAGGTTGGGTGGTGAGTGATTCCAATCTCAACCTGTCTGCCGCTGAGCCTGGATGGGCTGGCTGACCCCCCACCCTCATCTGGGAGAAGCAAAAATGCTGAGCTGCTAGTTTGGGGTAGGGACTGGTGAGTGGCCCGCAGAATCACACTGTCACTGGTTTTTACCAGATTGTGAATGGAATGTCTGTTTTCCTTCAAAATACAAAAACTATTCCTAAAACAGAGAAGACAGGTTTTGGGGCTGTTTTCTAAGACAATCCAATGAGAATAATACCCCCTGCACGAACCAAACCAAAAATAGTTAACCTGATGTGAATTCATCCTGATTTTTATACTTTTAAAAATAATAATTGATGAGCTCATTCTCTATGTATATGTTTTTATCATGCTTCTTTCCAAGAATGTCGTCAAATCACCGAAACTGTCACATGTAATGGAACATGCTCAGATGCTCTGAATGGAAGTGAAACATTCAGATAAAGAGAAAGGAGCATTCAAGTATGCCAGCCTGGAGGTTAGACACAGTTACTCTAAGATTCTAATTTGGCCTGTGTTTCCATGCAGCCTGGATATAAAAGGAAATATAGGCAATTACGTAATTCTCACTCCCTAAGAGAGGGGAACCTACTGTTTCCCCAGGAAAACGAAGCATGGAGGACTAAACGTGA